TATAACACCAACTTCAAGTTTAATAGAATACACCCTTTTCCCATATATTACAGTCCCTCCCCTTTATATTCTAGATTATATGTTTTTGCATCATGTACCCATTGACTTGGTTTTATAATTATTATTTTATGAATCAGGCTTTTAAATCATATGGAGGAGAAAAAGTAGCTGTGCCACATAAAATAATATTTATGTAGTTGCCATCAGCATCATTCTTTATTATGACTTTGAGTCACTACCCAATATCCTTTCATTTCAGCTGGAAGGGCTGCCTTTATCAGATACCGTAGGGCAGATCTACTGGTAATGAACTCCTTCAGCTTTAATTATCTTGAAGTGTCTTACTTTTCCCTTCATTCTTGCAGGGTAATTATTCCCAATACAGAATTCTTGGTTAACAGTTTTTCTTTCAGCCTCCCAGTACATCATTCCACTTTATTCTGGCCACCATAGTTTCTGAAGAAAAATCATCAGTCAATGTCATTGAGGATCTTTGTGTGAAGTGAGTCACTTCTCTCTTGCTGCTGTCAGAATTTTCTCATAGTCTCTGTTGATGTTTTAACTCTGTCTTGATCTGGATCTCAGCAGATCCAGATCTGTAGTTGTCATCAGCATTGTTCAAAATGACAAAGTAGATACCGAAAAGGAAAATATAGCCCTTTCTTAGGGCTGTAGTGTGCCTCTTTAAGCATCCATTCTGAAGAAGGCCACTCATCTGGCAGCAAGTTTCTAAGTTCAGCTCATTGTCAAGGGGAGTGCAGAGAATTAAACTTCATATTCTGGTGGGTTCAGGAGGGTTTGGAAGAAGTATCTATGTGTATTACTTCAAATTCTTTTGTGAGGAATATTTGTCTTCTCAATTATTTGCTTATTCAATTCATTGTGTCCAATGTCGTAAGGTTATTTATGTTTGTTTCATACTTTGACTTATAATAGATGAAGTATGTAGTATCCAAAATACTTGGAATCAGAAGTGTTTTAGATTTTGGAATATTTTCTATGCAAATTGAGTCAGCTTGGAGATGGGACCAAAGTCTAAACATGATAGTAATTGATGTTTTATATATCCCTTATTCACGTAGTCTTAGGGTTTATCATGGGATATTGGGGGGGGGCACCTATGTTTTGACTGCAACTCATGTGTGACCATGTGTGGAATTTTCTACTTGTGACATCATGTTGGCACGCAAAATGTTTCTGAGTCTGAAGCATTTCAAATTTTCTGATAGGAAATTTTCTGATGCTCAACCTGTACTTGCATACACATTTGTTGCTTTAATTCTTCCAACTTTGACCATTGGGAACTCCATGAGGTTGTCTACTCTGCCTCTTTGAAATGGCTTTTCTTGTCTTTCTTTCATTTATTTATTTGTTTATGTATTTGGCACATTCTTATTTTCTTACAGTATGTCGTGTCCATTTTCCCTGCCTCAGGTGCTTGGTTACCTGTTCTGTTAAGGAACACAAACTAGTATTTTCTGGCCAGCAACATGAAGCGTGAAGTTCAGAGCAAATAATAGGTGACAGGCTTGAAGAGACTCCGCGGTGTGATGAGCCTCGCACGTGAGCAATTGCTGCAGATGGCCAGCTTCGTGAGGACTCAGAGCCTACCGGTCGGACAAAGCCAGCTCCCGACATTTGTGTGGCACCAGGTCAATGCCCAGAGCAGTCATCACTCTGAGGGCCGTGGACCTCAAGGTGACAGAGTACTAGGGTCTGAGCCACTGCTCTGAGACACCAGGAGAAAGCCATGTGGGAGGGCAACAGCAACTTATTCAGGGCTAGAATCACCAGCAAGAGGCTGGAAGGGCATCTTCAGCTTGTGGTGACATTACCAGCCTCTCCATGAAGGCAGCCTGGGAGGCGAGGGCCTTGGGGTAGAAACCTGAAGGACAAGTTGAGGGAGGTGATGCCATGAAATGCAGAAATAACTCCCAAGGCTGTGACAGGGGTCTCCTTCCTGCAGAGAATGGTCTCTGGGGAGTGGTATACAGGATGACTCTCTATTTCAGCATTCTCTGAGCTGCAGTCAAACTTTTCTCCCTGAGTTGTTTAATTGGCTCCCAAAGCACTGGCCCCTAATGGCTGACTAGCAAGGATGGGAATTGCCTAGGGGGCTGAGGGTGCGGCACCTCTGCGGGAAGGAGGCTTCTGGCAATGGCCTGGTCCCTGAGAGCTCAGGCCCTGGAGGACAACTCAGCAGACGCAGTCCTGAATTCCTGGTCGTCCCCGGGGAGGACTGTCCTACCTGGCATAGTGCCTGCTTCCAGGAAGGGAGACCACTAGAGACTCCTCAGGATGCTGTGCTGTAATTTCTAACCGGTTCATGTCCTGTGAGAGTGCTACATGCGGATCCGCACCAGGACTGATTCCTCCCAGCGCCCTGTGCACCGGGGCCGTGAGAAGAGATGCAAGGAGTCAGTGGAGGCAATGGGGGTGGCGCCCAGCGGTAGGGCACTGGGAGACACGATGAGGGTTGTGCGGAATTAACCAGCGCAACACCGCTCACAGCGTGGGCAGGCCAAGCCAGGCCTGGGCCTTCCCAGCTCTGCTCACACTGGGCTGCAGTGAGTTTCTTTGCTCTTTTCAAGCAGGCACTCAGTATTCCCTAAAGCGACCTCTCCAGATGAATTGTGGTGACCATTTTGGAGAGTGACTTTCCTTTGTCCCAGCACACTCTTTGTTAAGTTCACTGACTTTCCTCTAACTGCACCCGCTTCACACGCACAGATTTTGACTAGAGCTGAAAGAGATAAACACTGAGAAACAGACCTGCGTCCCAGCCACGGCTTTCTCCATTCAACCTGGCTTCCTGGTTGAGTCCCAGAATTTAATGGAATCTGAACCCTGGAGTAAACTTGCAAGACTGTCCTTACCTAGATTCTAAGTTTCATGATTCTGATTTTTGATGTCTGGCATTTAATTTCCTATGAAGTAAAGTACTGTTTCTTTTCCTAGTCTTCAGAGGTTTTAGCTGGGAGAAATTCTCTTCTATGAAAAGGCAGATCATTAGGAGGAAAACATAGGCGGGTTTAGAAACACTTCTGTGCCTGTCTTGCAGGAGAGAAGCAACTCTCACGGGAAAGTGACTGTCTCTCAGCAGCGACCTGGGACCCTCCGTTCAGTATTCTTTTAACGAGTAGCAATTTGTCTTGAGTGTGGAGACAAATGATCGGGAGTTTCTGGGCTCAGGCGTGGAAAGGTGGCAACGCCTCCTTCCGGAGTCACGCAGTGTCTGTGCACAAACTCTGGGCTGATGAGAGCTTCTCTAAGAGGGGCAGGTCCTCACTACTTGTTTTAGGTGAGAAAAGTGGGGAAGGAAAGACCGACCATTTGCCTGTATGAGTCCTTGTCCTTCCATCAGGCAAACATAGGGAAAGACAGAAAGGGCTCAACTTTTTAGCGGTTTTAAGGTCAGCAGTTCTCCATATTTTAAGAAGAAATCTTTCAGCTACCTTGCCCCATTAGATTTGGCTTACAAGAGCTCTAAGCACACTCAGGAACATGTCCATGCATAAGCTGTCTGCGGCACTTTCTCAAGCGAAGCATGGAATGTAACAAAGAGATAAAAGACATGGGGAATGAAGTCTGGGTATGCTGGGAACAACACGAGTCATAGAACATTAAACACTAAAAGTTCGTGTTGTTACAGCGCAAATGTTTTCCCTGAACTTTCTCTAAAATAAAACTGACAAGCCAGAATGTACCTGAAGTTTTTCACGTGCAGTCAGGTTCCTGCCAGCAGCACATGCGTCCTGAAAGCCCTGGGTGGCGAGTTCCACTGTGTCTGTGGGGTGGGATCCGTGGTGGACTGAAGACAAATGCACGTTTGTGAGAGGCTCCAAAACTCAGAGGAGTGTGTCAGCAGAGTGAAGAAGGAAGGAGAAGAGAACTCAGAGAGACACATGGGAGGAGAGAGGAATCTTTTAGCTTATGAGGGAGAAAGCTGTAAGACCAGCTCAATGCCAAATGATGCCAGGCTTTCTACCTAAAGAGAAAAATATGTGGGTTTTTCCTGGCTGTTTCCAAATTTTCTATGAGGGTTGGTTACAGGATAAGTTCAATACTCTAAAGTGAGGCTGCATGCAGGACGGAGATGCACAGGGAGAAGCAAGAGGCAGTGGGACCCCTGTGAGCCTCTGCTGGGCTCAGGGTAAGAGGGGTGAGTGGCGGGGCCATGGCAGGACAGCGCTGATGGTAAGAACCGACTGCCATGAGGCTGAAGGAGACGGAGAAACGAGGTGACAGGCAGACGGCCGGCGAGGGGAGGCTTACTGAAGACTGATCGTTCTCCGGTGATCACGGTCTTTAATTCCAGGGAGTTGCTTTGGGCAAAAGAAAAGAAAGGTAGCTCTGTTCTCAGTGGTAGAGATGGAGAAGAAGCTTGGACTCCTGGACAGTTGCCCAGAACAGTCTCTGGATTTGGAGTCTGACGTTCTGCATTCAAAACCCAGTTCTTCAATGAATTCCTATTCTATGGTAACTCTAGACACTAGCTTTAAGAGAATGTCTGCTTCCTGCAGTTCATCTAATCCTGAAGGGTTCCCAAAGGTTCCATGGAGAGTTACTGTCCTTAACTTCCTGGTACCCATCCTGACCCCTGTACCTGTGCTGAATGACAAAACCTGAAATAGATATGGAGGAGAGGAGGTGACCCAAAGGAGAGTGTTGTAGCAGAAAGACTTAAGCTCAGGATAGGGGAAGACAGAAATCTTCTGGAATTTGTAGATCATTGAGGGGGGCCAGTTACATTAGAGGGTTTGTGGAGTCATCTAAATATATACCCCAAACAGTTCTGCTCCTTGGTTTTTCTCACCTATCCAATGAGTACCTTAGAATCACTGACTTTTATACATAACAAATTATGGGTCTTATGACTATGAGTACCTGTCAGCCAGAAATTTGAAATCATGCTTATCATCACTTATTAACAGTTACAGGAAGAGGCTTATGTGAGTTTTCTTCAACGTTGTAAAAATAATTCTCAACTTTAAAGTGTTCTAATTCTGGGATCTGAGAATTAGCTTCCTCAGGGCTGCTTTCATGTCCCGATTCCTCAGGCTGTAGATGAAGGGATTGACCAGTGGCGTCACCACTGTGAAGATGACAGAGGCTGCCATGTCCTGTACCGAGTAGGAGGATGAAGGGCGCATATAGACACCCAGGATTGCCCCATAGAAGAGGGAGACCACAGTGAGGTGGGACCCACAGGTGGACAGAGCTTTCCTTATCCCCTGGGCTGAGGGCAACTTCAGCACATTAGAGAAGATATAAGCATATGAAATGACAATGCATGTAAATGGTGTCAGAAATACCAACCCACCCACAGTGAAGACCATGAGGTCATTGATAAAGGTGTCAGAACAAGAGAGCTTCAGGATAGGGTAGGGGTCACAGAAGAAGTGGTGCACAGTGTTGTTGGAACAAAAGTTGAGTCGAACCATGAGCAGAGTGTGGAGGAGAGCATGCAGGTTTGTAATGACCCAAGAGAGGGCCACCAGGAGGACACAGAGTTTGGGCCTCATGATCATGGTGTAGTGGAGTGGGCAACAGATGGCCACATAACGGTCATAGGCCATCACACTCAGGAGGAACCCGTCCATGTTGATGAAAGTGATGAAGAAGTACATCTGAGTCATGCACTGCGTGTAAGAGATGGACTTGCTCCCCACCACGTGATTCACCAGCATCTTGGGGACTGTGGTTGATGAGAAGCAGATGTCAACACTGGAGAGGTTGGCCAAGAAGAAGTACATGGGCGTATGGAGATGAGGGTCACAGCTGATGGCCGAGATGATGAGCAGGTTGCCGATGACGGTGACCAGGTACATGCACAGGAACAGCCCGCAGAGCACCTCTTCCTGCTCTGACTGGCCAGACAGTCCCAGGAGGAGGAATTCTGTGACTGTAGTATGATTGTGCCCATCCATGTCTGTGGGGAAGATGATATGCCAACATTTGAGTGAAGCATTACATAGTTTGGAGCATTTTATTCATTGATTGAAAATTAACTAAAATGAAATTATCTTGTATAATTTTAAAGTAAATGCTTGGTTAATTTCAATAAAGTTTAATTTCTCATAGTTACACTTTCATTAACTCCACTCCCATTTTCTCAGTAACATATACAGGCACTTTTTTACATAACATTTAACTAAGTTCAATAAAAGGTGTATTATATTTCAATTTTTAGATATTTAGGATTGGGGCAATTAGGTGATTTTCTTAAATTCACAAAGCCAATGCAAGTTAGAGTCCCAATCCACTTTTTTGTACTATATATATATATATATATATATAGAGAGAGAGAGAGAGAGAGAGACAGAGAGACAGAGAGACAGAGAGACAGAGAGACAGAGAGACAGAGAGAGAGAGAGAGAGAGAGAGACAGAGAGACAGAGAGACAGAGAGACAAAGAGACAGAGAGACAGAGAGACAGAGAGAGAGAGAGAGAGAGAGATTTTTTGTTTGTTTGTTTTTTTCCAGTACTGGGAATTAAACTCACGACTTTGCATTTGCCAGGCAGGTGCTATGACACTGAGCTAAATCCCCAGCCACATTGCACTATGTTTTGATTAGCTACCATTTACTGAAACCTTAAGCAACTGATAAACTCTTTTTAAGCCTGCAGATTTTGTCTGTGACTCTTCTATTTTCTCAGGATTTGGGCAATATACAGGCTTTAATTGACCTGCCTGGGGGTTCATTCTCAACCCTTCAGTGGCCATTGTGATGTCTCCACCAAAGCCCGTGGTGGTGGGGTCTCCTGGCCTCAGCCTGCTGCCCCCTGTGCTGGGTGCAATCTTCTACCTCTTCTGCTGGCCAGGGGACTATGATAGGCAACTGTGGCATCTACTTTCTTTCTCCACCGGAGGAAAGAGATTTCCTGCTAAAGAGCAAATGCCCGTGGTACACTCAAAACACAGCCCCAGGACTAATAAATCATTGGTAGGGAGTCAAGTAAAATATGAACAGTGTGCTCTGAGATGAATTCATGTTAGTCAAGGCGGAAGTAAGAGCAGATACACTCCTGGAAGAGCAATAGCCCTGCAACCTGAGCCATTTACGGAAAATATAACCGGTGTCAAAACCTACCTGAAGTGCCACACTGTTAAAATGTAAACGCTACCTGTGGCTTTTTAATTTTCTCAGTGTAGGGACTTGGTCTCTCAGTGTTCCCCGGGAGAAAACGGTGAGGGTATTTAGAAAATAAAGACAAGAGACAAAAGCTAAGCTCAGGTGGAGGCCTACTGACTGGATGGGCAAGACAACTGACCAACAGCAGTAGGGGCATTTATTTACACTTTTGCAAGGTTAGTATCAGGGTACACAAGGTTACCTAGTGACTACTGACTAAAATTTTCTAGGCAGGATGTTTTTCTCAAGACTGAGGTAGCTTGACTGTTTTAGGCACTATGGCCTTATGTTGTCTCCACACATATAACCAGTTTCCAGCTCCAGCCACTCCCAACAGCTCAGAACTTGAAAATGTGTGACCTTCGATCCTCCTGCGTAGTAGTTTGTCCTCAGCCATCTTAATCTCATTGGTACAATACTTGGCAGAAATCTGTCAGACCAGCCAGTTTCCCTGCCGTGTCAATGCTGGGCCTTGTCCTATGCCTGAGAAAAATGGTTTATGGCAGCTGCAGTTTTGTTTTGTTGCCTGGGAGGAATTTTACCTTTTGGGTCAATTTTTATTGAAATGTATTTAGTCTTCACATCTTTCTGGGTATAGTATCTATTATGAATATGGTTTCAGTCATAAGGTGCTGGTCATCCTGGGCGTTGTGACCATCGTGTACACCTCCTTCCTGCTAAATGCAGAGGATTACTGGTGGCAATGGACAACTTTTCTGTCTGCTGTGTCAACCGCAATCCCTACATTTACATATATTCCTTTTACTACTATTTTTTCAAAATAAAGGTGTATGGCTTATTTCAAACATCATTTTATTTTGGATATATGGCAGTATTTAGCACTGCCTTGGGGATAATGCATGGAGCAACTGGTCGCATGGAAACAGGTGCCTTTGCCTGAAAATCTATACTACTGTGAACATTGACTAGGGAGCCAAGAAAACCTGGAAGAGATCAATTTCTCTTTCAAAGGGGTGGACCTTGCATAACAAATCAGTGCAAGAAGAGATTCGGGCTTAGCACTGGGGGCTCTGTGGGTGTCTCTGCCATGGATGGCTTAAAGAAACATCTACTCCCATTGAGCCTGCGCTCTCACTGACTGCTTTCTCTGACTGTTCATGGTAAACGCTTCATTGATGCAGGAGGCATCATCACAGTACCTGGAGGATCTTCCCCAAAGCCAACTCATTAAAGATGAACTAGACCAGCTCTCTTCAGTGAAGATGACAAATTGTTTAAAGCATTTGCAGTGGCAGAGAACAGTATAGGGAGAACTCTGAGGAGACTGCTTGTAGAGATGCATTTATGGGGACAGCTGAGTTGATTGCCACTGTGAGAGTTAAATTAACACAACTGAGAGGAAATGCTGAGATTTGAAGTTATTTTTTATCTAGTTTAACTCCCAGAACCAGAGTCCTAGAAAAAAATCTGGAAGCCCCTGATTGAGCATGGACTATTAACATGGACGGTAGATGTTGAGGAGGTGAGGGAGGGACGGTGACCAATGTCCCCGAGACAAGACAGTGCCTTGATCAACAGATCCTACTGTGATCTTCAGAACACATGGCTTCAGACAGTGGAAGCAGAGAGAAAGAGGGGTAATAGGACATCAAGGGAGATTTGTCCCATTGTGTTGGGACTGCTGAGGCCAAATATTGAGAATACAAAGCTGAAACTGTCCGACCACTACATCTTGGTTTCGTCCTGCACTGAGCTCTTATTTCTCTAACTGAATATACATCCGACATCCCCCAAACACAGTTCACCCTTCCCTGCTGCTTCCCCTTAGAAAGTGACAGTAACATTTAGTCTGTGTGACATGTACTTTGATGTTTGCTTTCTGTATCAGTCTCTTGTGAGCCATTCTAGTATGGGATTGTGACTGTGACATCTGCCATGTCTGCCTTGTTGAATATTTGTCTTTGAACCATAAAATGAAGGGTGCTTAGTCTCTGGACACCCTCTCAGGTCACCTCCCCTCCATGGAGCTCAGACTGCCACCTGAGTAGTCACAATCCGAGCCACCTTTATCATGCAGTCACCGACCAGAGCGAATAATTGTAGGGTATCAACCGGCACCAAGGTGGACATTAGGGGAAGAGCAGGAGCCCTGCATGTTGGGGAGAGGGCCTCCCTCTCGGGGTGATGGGAAGCAGCGCTCTTGGCTCTGAGTTTCCAGTTAGGCTTATTAAGAGCCTACACTCGGTGGTCCTAGCGCTAGTAACTCTAGCTGTCTCCTTGCTTATCCACGGCTCAACTTTCTGTTTCCCTCTTCAAATGTACGTGGTCCGCTCTGCAGGAAACGGCGCATCCTGAATAGGGAAGGTCTTGCACATGTCACACAAGAGGTGTTTCCTTGTGAACCAGTTAGATATAGAGGAACTCAGGAGGTCTGTTTCTCCGGACGTCCGTGTGTGCGCCGTGTCCCTGTGGATCCAGCTGTGTGGAGCGGCTCTAACCTCACCTCTTACCTGCTGCTCCCTGCCACTGTCAGGGCTTTCACAGAGTCTGGGTCTCTGTTGGTTCCATGCTGGACCCTGGACGACGGAAATCCACAGCTGCAGCTCAGTCAGTGAGGCTCTCTGGTGAGGCTCGGATGATTGGGAACAAATAAATAATCTGTGGAGGTCGGGACTTTCAAGAGGATTGCTTGCAAGTTGAGGGGCCCCCGGGACTGATTCTCCAGAGGTCCTCACTGGGGACTTGTACTAAGTTTGTATGCTGTTTGGTGCACAAAATAAGAGTGTGAGAAATTAGTTTTTGTGTAATTCCTTGTTCCACAATCTTGGACATTCAACTTCCCTTTGCTTAGTCTGTTCTCTCTCTGAGCAATCAAGAAAAGGACAGTGATTTAAAATTTCAAGTAAATATATGTATGTACAATTGTGCACATATGCTCACAGTTGTATAATTTTATATATGATTATATATATGTCTGTTAATCTCAAGGTATATTAACAAACATTGAACATCTTATTGATTATTAAGCCCTGTGAAATTCCTTGAAATAGCTATTTTATACACCACATTCTCTGGTCATAAAATAATGAAATGAGAGTAACATAGAAAGAAATAACAGTAATATAGAAAGAAAAACATCATTTTGTTAGATTTTAAGTGTTTAAATATCCTTTACATACAGTAAAAATCATTCATTTTAGTGTGTAGTTCCATGAATTTTGACAAATATGTTCAGTATTGTAACCACCATCATAAGCAAGGTGTTAGGCAGTTCATTCATCTGCAGAGAATTTCTGTATGCCCTCCGTAGCTAACCCCTAGCCCAACTCCAGCCTCTAGCAATCACTGATATGTGTGTACCAATAGTATCTAATTTGCATTGCTGATTGGCATCTAAAATTTTTGAGGCACCAACTTTTGATGATTCACCCATTAGTTTAAGTACATTGCAGCTGTTTCCAGATTGATGTGATTGTGTACAGGGTTTTGTGAAGGTAACTTGCCATTTTAATTTGATAAAAATGTAAGAGTGGGATTGATGTGTCCCGTACAGTGACATTTAGCCTTTCACCATTAAAGATTATGCTAGCTCCAGATGTTATGTAAATACCCATTATTAGTTGAGGCCCTTTCCTTTGTTTTGAAATTTGCTGGCAATTTTTACAGTAATTAGTTTTTAGTTTTGTTAAAGACTTTTTGCATCAATTAATGTGATCAGGGCTGGGGAGATAGCTCAGCAGTATAAGCGCCTGCCTGGCAAGTGCAAGGTCCTGAGTTTGAATCCTAGTACCAGAAAACAATTAATGCGATCATATTGTTTTTATTCAGTAATCTAAATTGATTGATAGTTAAATTGATTGGTCTGTGGTATCCTTTCTTGTAATGCGTTTGTCAGGATTCTCCTGGCCTCATAAATGATGGGAAGTGTCCTAATACTCCTCTATATTCTTGAACAGTTTGTGTAACATGCCTATTATTTTGTTAAATGATTTTTAGAATTCATCAGTCAAATCACCAGATAAATCACTGGAGTTTTGTTTCAGCTTTCTGATAAGGAAAGGGCTATTTTTCTGGCATTTGTGCCATTCATGTAAATTGTCAAATTTATTGTAATATTGTTTATAGGAATATTTCTCAATTTCCTTTTTAATGTCTCCAAGATCTACAGTTACAATACCTCTATAATTCCTGACATAATCC